TTTTTACAAAGGTATTTTCATATCATGTTACTGGGGAAATGTGTTCAAGCTTAGGGATGGGGAGCTTTGTGCTTTAGGTACCACATGGCTACTGCCATATCAAAACCAGAGCAGTGGGGTTATCTGTACAAGATCCTAACAAGGCTGTCGGCTCACATAAGTGGCACGTGGCACAAGGGGTCCTGGTGCACAGGGCATGAATGTGCCTGCTCCCCCTCCTTATTGTCTATGCTCTTGAAAGTAATCCCAGTTACACTAATTGCCAAGCTTGCCTTGGTAAAAATTGTTTCTTTGGTCTGTGGTTGGTTCCCTATCAGGGATGAAAGACATTTGTTGATATGTCCCCCAGGATAAGTAGCGCAGTTAGAGAAGTGGATGAGACTGTCAATATCCCTTCTGTAGAGACTGTGCTGTGCCTCACATCTCCTGGCCATAGAGTTGTTTCTCTACTTCACAAGCTGAATGGATTGTAAAACTTTTGGTTTTCCTTTCCAGTTTGAAAGATGAATAGTAGACCTTCCTTGTGGACTTTCATTTATTTTGGTGTGGATATAATTGCTGATCTTTCCAGATGATTAAGATCATTTTTGTATTTCTTAGTTTGTTCAAGTCTGCCCACATTTTCACAAGATTTCTTTATATCTTTTCCTATAATTTTTGATTGCAATAAATTAAAGAGTAATATGGTTTGGTGTTGACATACGCTAGAAGTACCTTTTTCTCAGCTTGTCTACTTGTGTGATGGAAGGATCAGATCTACTTAGCAGCTCTTGCACTTTGTTTTGAACAGTAGAGATAACAAACTTCAGTGAATTCTTTTTGTGTAATTCAGTTGAGCTCTATAGGTTCTTAGTCTTAGCTATGCTTGCCTTTAGACTTTCTAGTTTTAATAAAACTAAATGTTTAGTCAATAGAAAGGTAGATGGATTTTAGTATGTTATTAGTATAATAAATCTGAATCATAGGACTTAGGTGTGTGTGTGTGTGTGTTTTGGTTTATCAAGACAGGGTTTTTCTGTGTAACAAGTTCCAGCTGTCTTGGAACTTGCTTTGTAGATCAGGCTGGCCTCAAATTCACGGAGATCTGTCTGCTACCACTGCCCAACAGGGACTTTCGTTTTTATATTTAAACATGGGCTTTATTTTATTGTTGTGAACATGATTGTAATTTAACACAGCTTTGAAGAGACATTGTTTCACTATTATTCCCACTCCCTGTTCTACCTTTACCTCTCAGGGTGCCACCCCCTCTGTCCCTGACACCAAGCAAGGGGAAAATATGACACTGCCACAGAATTAGCAGCTGAAAACAACCTGCCGCCCCATCACTTTTTAGATTATAATGTTTCTCACCAGTGTCTACTTGTGACTATATCATTAAAAACAACTACAGTCAGGGGGGATTTGGGAAGATTTGGGGGAAGGAAAACCATAGCTAGAATACATTATATGAAAAAAGACATTTCAGTTAAAAATAACAAAAGAAAAAAATTAAAATCAACACACACACACACACGTATAAAACTACAAAAAAATTGAAAGCAAAACAAGAAAAACTAAATACAAAGGAATGAGGAATTACTGAATGAAAGTAATGACACAAATCATGAATGGGGATATAAGGTTAGTAGTGCTATGGACTTTTTGTTTTTGGTGGTGGGTAAGTCCACAAAATATATACAATACTGAAAGTCTGAAATAAAATGTGAAGTTTTGTAACTTCAATTTTAAATGATGTTTCTGTGTAAGTTCATGAAGTTGCATAGACTTTGGGTTTGTGATGTTTTTATGTATATGCAAGTATTTTATAATAAAGTTTACAGTATTAAAAGACAACTGCAGTCTACTGTTGCTGCCTTGGGGGGATGGATATACACTAAGGGGTTCCAAGCTCCTATAGAAAGCTTGGAATGTAGTAAAGTGCAATGTACCACTTACATTATGGTAATTCATAGGGTTTAAATTAGGATAAGGTTTAAATTAGGTTAATTTAACTTCTTTCAAATCTTATTCCAAAATAGTACTTGGTTGGGCTAGGCATGTAACTTTTGCTTCCCTTGTGTGTGAGGCTCCAGATTTGATGCCACCATTGAAAAAAAGAAGTCTAATAACTACAGTGGCAATCATATGTTTATCATAATAGATGTACCTTTTTTTCTAGCAGATATTAGCATTTAAAACTTATTTTTCCAAGAAAGGTTTCAAGAACGCCAGCTCCATTTTCTCCTTTGATTGATTAATTTCATAATCTCAAGGATAAACACACAGAATAGTTGATAAAAAGGACTGTGTGCTCCATTGGCACAGTTCAGATTTTTTTTAATGCAATTCAAATCTGTGTCATGTCAACAGATTTTGAACTTTATGTGGTTATGAGAAGCCAATGAACTGTCTCCATTCCAGAGACATTGCCCTGAGCACTGAACAACTTTCATTGTTTTGACAGTTTTGAACATTTTAATAGCTATCTGAATGTCTTAGTTTAGTAATGTTTTGAACTTGAAATTTTCAAATACAAGTAGATTTCCATGTTCAGAAAGTTTCTGGTTTGGTGAAGACAACGTAAGTGCTTTTCTCTAAATATATGCTACAGTGATAGCGAACAGTACCAAAATTTCCATGAATATCACCTTGGCTCTTTGTTCATGGGTGCTGTGAATGCACGTGTATGTGTATGCAGGTACATGCCTTGTTCACATTAGAGGACAGCCTTGACTGTCAGTGTTCAGCTTGCATCTTGTCTGAGACAGGGTCTGTTCACTGCTGCCTTGTTTCTACCTCCCATCTTAACACAGGAACATCGGGATTACAGATACCCACTACTGACTGCACCTGGCTTCATGTGTATTCTAGGGATTTGAACTCAGTTCCTCATGCTTGTGAAGCAAATGCTTCAGCAACTTAAGCCATCTCTCCAGCTTCATGATTTAGATTTTTAATGTCAAGTTAGTGCAGAGAAGCAAGACTGACTTCTACTATGGCATTAACAGTCATAGTAACCACTAGTCATAGGACACATTACATTCCAGAAGCCTTGATGGGGTCAAGAGCAGATACCTGTGGCCCTTACTATGTAGCGTATATAGCAATGTGGCAGATGCCATGACTCAAATAGGGCTTAAAATTGTGATGTGGGTTGCAACTAACCATGTCTTCTCAGAGGTACCACACGACAGGCAGCAACTAGTCTCTCTGTCTCTGTCTCTCTCTCTATATGTATATATATATGAGCTTATAACTGCATTAAAATTCTTTAAAAATTAAATGAGATTTTAAAGAAAATTTATTAGTTCTCTAAAAATTTCATATTTAATTTTATTTACCTCCTCCAACCCTGCAACTTTTTCCAGATCTACCCAACTACCCCAATTCCTTATCTACTTTGTATTCTTTTTCCCTCCCATCAAGACCAAATATTCTTTAATGTGTGGCCTACACTGAAGCTGTGATTGACTTACCAGATACTACTTACCAACATCCACATTTGGGATTGGGATTTGATGGCCAACTCCCTCCTCTATGCTGGGATGCGGTCTGGCTTGAGCTTGGAGAGTTCCCACTAACTCTGTTAAAACCACTATTAGTTTGCATGAAAAGATGCCCCACTGTGTTCAGAAAAGTTTTCCTTGTCATCCACTGAAGGTACTTTTAAAGGACTATCTATGCCTAGTGTTGAAAGCTTTTTGATAATGCTTAGAAAATACATAGCTTTTTAAGAACTGAATGATATTGCCACCAAGCCTGAGTGTTATCAGATTGCCAAGCGATAAGCATGATCAGACTACACAATATCTTGGCTTACCCATAAACCTTGGAATTTTTCCTGAGCCAAATAGGAGTAGCACATTAAGAAATACAATTGAAGTTTAAAAATTAAAGTTTTGAATTTCTTTTATTCTCTTAGCAAACTTTTGCTAAAAAGTTATACATTGGATTCCTATATCATGGAAAGCAACACATCAGGAATTAATTCACTCTTTTAAAAACAGAATCTGTCTTTTCTTTTCCCTAAGATACCTGCCCCTTAATCTGAGGTCATTATTAAAAATTAAGAGATTTAACTCAAACAAAACAACAACACTTGAGTGGCAAAGCCTTTGAAAACAACTCAAAATTATAGGATGTTTGGAGTCATTCTAAAGTGTTTACAGCATTTTTTATCTGCAATGAATTATTAAATTTATTTCATCAGTATAAAAAATTTACACATAATATTCATTTCTGTTTTGGAGTCTTCATATAAGCAAAACTGTCAAGGTCAAAATCATATCAAAGACAAAGCAATTGTTCTATTTAAATGACTAACAGCCTCCAGTGCACGGTGTATTTGTCTGACAAGGGAACGAGTGGGGGTTTTTGTAGTCTTCTTTTAAAAACAGAATTGACAAATACACTCTGCAGCCAGCAAAAGGAATGTGCTCAGAGGTGGATCAACCTAAAAAAAACACCAAGCTAAGAGAAAAAAGCCAGACACTCAGGATTCCAAGGAGGATTCAGTCAATCAGGCCCTGGAGAGAATTGGGAGTGATTACTAATGCTAATGGGAATGAGCCTTTATGGGTGATGAAATTTTTAGAATTTTACTATGAATGTTTCACAAGCCTAAAATATACTAAAACTCATGTGTTGTATGCAGTGGACAACAAACTGTACAATGTGTGAATTTCTGTTGTAAGCCTGTTAACACAATTAAAACACTTTTCAGTATTTTGTTTTTTGAGATAAGGTCTCACTACATAGCCCTTAAAGATCCATCTGCCTCTGCTTCCTGAGTGCTGGGATCAAAGGTGTGTGCCACCACCCGCCTAGCCCCCCCCCCTTGGGATCTTTTTGTGTGCACTTTACCTACACTGTGTGACATAGGTGGCACTTTTCCTGGGCATCTGTGAATGTGCCTAAGTGTTTATCACTTGCTTGCCTGTTTCTTGAGACAGAGTCTAACTCATTTACAGCATTTTTAAAATATACTGTGAAGACAAAACTATGAATTTGAACAAAGGTTCAAAGTAATTAAGTTTATTTTGCACAATTACAATATTTACATAACATATACTAAATATACAAACAAAATTCATATATCTGGTTAACAATATCTTTTCAGCAAATACATGCTACATGTATATGTAATATATCAAAAAACATTGACCCCTCAAGCATGCTTACTCACACAAGTCAGTCGTGTCACATTCAGTATGGCTACAATAAGAACATATGAGGAAGACAACAGTTTATGTCTAGAACTGTTCCACAATGAAATAAGAATTCTGAAATATTAAATTTCATTTGCTATTGAAAGACTGAAAAGGCAAAAATATCACCGAATAAAACTGGATATTTTACATAAATACAGGGAACACAAACAGATCTATCATGACATACACTTTATTTCTAAGTCCCAAGAGAGCAAAGCATTTTTTTTCTAAAGTAGCTATTATCCCCAAAACTGGCACACAGTTGGTTCTCAATAAATATTTCTTTAATAATATCAGCTTTGATCTGGAATAGCCTAATATCCTCCTTGTTAATTTAGGAGTGAAAAGTAAGGAGAGCACATGTAGTGTCACACTCCACCAACTTCCAGAAGAGTTACAGAATAGTTTACATCTCTGACAGAAAGCATAAATTGAAACATCAATAGCAAGTGTTTCTTTCAGGACAATAAAAGAACATCATCATCAAGAGGGTTTAAGCCTGAAGGCAAATCTAGAAAGGTTCATGACTCATCCAAGTGTCTTCAACAGTGTCTGTAACTAATTCAAGACCAGTTTGTCCAAAACTTACTTGAACTCTCATGCTGAATGAAGTCACTGCATTTATGCATAGTTTTACTAGACCTACATGAAGCAATACTTCTTATTGTCTTATATGCTATATTTAAAGATCAAGGGAAGTAAAATGTTCTTCTAATGTATTTAAGGCAATATGCTAGTATACCAAGGTTATACACATGAATAAATATGTGTAAATAAAATCTAATATAAGCATTAAGAATTGTAACCTTTTAGGAACTTGCTGTTTAAGAACATACTTTATATTATCTCTGAAAAGAAGACTTTTTTGATATTGATTAGAACAAAACCAAAACTTAGGTTGGGGATGTAGCTCCGTCACAGATGCTTACTAGAATACTCAAGGAAAAAACTTAGATTTTGGAGAAGTCCAAATTCTCGATGAGGTTAACTGAGTTACAAGAAAAAGAAATGGTGGATTTTTTCAGATTAAAATTGAACCTGGAAGTGAGTTCTACAGATTTTTATTAAAATTTTGATTAAAAACTGTACCTCACAACCCTACCTTTTTTTGGAAAAGTATAATTATATTGTCTTTAAATACCAGGCTTTAGTCATATTGCATATCATACCATTCTTTCTGCATGAGAATCACCACGGCCTCTGATCCCTGATAAAGCAACATGTCCCAGACACCATAAAAACACAAACTCAGTGTATAAAATGCTAGCCAGGTTAATGAAAAATTGATGGACTAACAAGCAGGCATTTACATTTTATTGCTTTCATATACCAGGCTACCCATAGTAATCCATGAAATGTAGTCTCAAACTGGTTAACTAAGCTTTCATCTTGTGAGTGGATAGTTAACCTAAATCTGGCATGGTAGCCCAATCTGCTTTTCAGTCATTATCCAACAGACCCATCGTCATAAGTACTGGGATTATAGGGACACAGCACCACACTTGGTCTTCTTAAATAGTTAAAATATAACCAGTCTCACAAAGTTTCTTGCATTTCTTATCATGAAGGAGTTAGCTCACCCTTTTACCTCTTAGAGTTGGTCCCATAGCAGATCAGTGATAGGGTTAACTATAAGACATAGGCCATCTAAGATTCATTTCGCTTTAGCTGATTTCCAAGGCAGAGAGAGTAAACAGCCTTCTCCCAGCTTTCTTACTTTTCACAGCTGAGAGTGTAGGATGTTTACAGTATCTGTCACTCAGTGCTCTCTAGAGCAGGTTGGCGGTGAGAAGCGCAAGCCTCAGGAGCCCAGCAGCATTTGGAGAGACCATAATGTGTTACAGCAGAAGAGGTTCTAGGTCTTGAGCTGGTAAGAAGGCTACAGGCTGCTTACTACTGATGAATGCTCAGTTCCTGTTCTGCACACAACAGGATTTTCCTGGGATCTCTGGGTTTGACCCTAAACACTCAGGCGTTTGACTAATTTTGAACTTTGACTAATTTTCCGCTTTCTCAAAAATGCTCTCAGACAGTTCCTTTCTACTTGCTATTATGATAGTTTTCTAACGTGAGGAAGACAAAGTCAACTTTTCATTGTCTCAGCTATGTGACTTTGTTCTGCTTTACTCCTGCCTAGAACTGAGAACAACTGTTCAACTGTGTCTGCAGACAGAATTTTATCCAAAGGTTTAATTACTGATAGGCAGTTATCTTAATTATGAGTTATAAAGTCATAAATCAATCAAATGAGCAGAGTAAGTATGTTGGTTGGAATACAAATTACATGCATTAAAATAGTACACTAAATAATCTAACACAGTGTTAGAAATTTAAAGTCATATATAACTGGAGGCATATACACAAACAGAGCAAATTAAGTCCTAATTTCTTCTCTAAGAATGAATGACGCAGATGGTTCTTGGAGTTCTTTGCTATATTGATCTGTTGGGTAGTGAAAAATAAAGTCATCACGGCTACTATATACTATAAAACAAGCCTACATGATGAAATTACCACCTATGTACCAGAGTGGCACAAAATTCAGGAACAGACACAAATCACTCATTCATGCATTAGACATACATTTATAGGTACCTGCTACATACCAATGTTGCAAATGCTAGGTAAGGTGTAAGGAGTACTACTAACATTTTTCCTCAAAACAATACCTAATCTGCAGGACATATGTCTCAATCTCAGTGGAGGGGTAGTGTAGTGGGTCAAGAGTTAGATGGTAACTGAGAAAATGCTGAATATTAAATAAAGTTGTTAGACGAAGATGTGTTATTGGGACCGAGAGAGCTGCACACTGAGGAGGATAGTGTGTATTGAAATTTATCAGAAACAAGTCATGGAGAAATAAAAGTCTATATAGAGACCCAACTAGAAGATTTGGGGTGACATGTGAGGCTAGTGACACAGGTGCTAGGGAAGGAAGATGGTTGATATAAATGCAAGGCAGTGTAAATGGGAAAACAGCTTAGTGTGTGGGTATTTTAGTACTAAAGCTAGAAAGAACAAATATGAGAAAATACAAAGAGAAAAACAGAGATGGGGAAATGAAAATAATCCCTTTAGTGATAAGGCTTTCCAAGAAGAGGAAGTTGTGGAAAGTCACCCAGAGTCTGGATGGAAGGCTCCTAAACCAGGCTTCTGCATATTGGACTTATGTTGCACTGAAAGAATGACATCTAAAAGAACTTCAAGAAGCCCATTTGTCATTCAACTGTTTTCGTACTTTTGATCACCCATCTAAGTAGGCCCTACTGTCAGATCCTTAATCACTCATCTCTCCTCCAAAGCAGTCCCCTTTGATCTTTGGCTAAATCTGCCCCATCACCCTGGAGGAACTATCTAGTCTGTCCTTTCCACATCACTATACTCTGCATGCTCGTCTATCACCAACTCATGGTTTATTTTCTCTTTGTGAAATCAAGATTAGTTTAGTTTCACTCAACTTCATTGGATTTGAAGAAAATCCAAAACAAGGAGCCAGGATTTATTGAGTATAACCAGTAAATATTTCAACTATGTGAACATTGCTATCTAATGTTTGCCAATTTAATGATTTCAAGATAATTATTTGGTTTTAACTTTCTAGGAAAAAAACCCAACAGTTTCTCAAAAATTCTTTTAGATTTCTCAGTAATTCAAAGTACAACGATTTTAGTTTTCTATGGTACTCTTTGTTAGGAGAACTGATCACATTAAAATAAATCTTTCCTTAAGTGATAACAAGACCTTGTGAAATGTTAACCTTCCCTGAGAGTCACCTGATTTTTAAATTTTACTTCCGTGATGAATTCCAAATGAAGAAAAGTCAGGGTGAAAAGTAACTTCATAGAAGAAGTCCATGTAAACAGTTTAAAAATGGAGACGAATGAAAGGAAACAGTTCCAATAGTTCTATTCAACAGTAACTTCATTTTGTCACAACGTATTCTAGTTGGGTGGCACTTTCTTGGATGCTAACTGCAGCAGAGACCATCTCACTACAGTGCTATATGAGCATACTAGCAGTATGTCGTAAAGTGAATAAAAAATACTATCCTCACAAAATCCAGAGCTTTATCTTACCCAAAAGTTCCCCAATTTAATGGAAATACCCTTTGTTCTAAAAAAAAAACTATATTCTGTTTAATTAACTTCTTGTGTTCATCTCAAAGAAAAAGTTCCCTTTCCCAGCTAGATATGCTACCTACTTTGAATCTCCGGTTTGATGATTTTCTGTCTAGATTCGTGCCTTAACTGAAATCATCCTGTTTAAGCCCAAGACTTAGTAACCATTGTTTTTCTCTTCTATGCTTAACTGTTTCATTTATGCTATTGTTCTCAGAAGAAAACAATAACAGATAAACTTGTTGTAACTTATATATACATATATATAAATACTTCCTACTGGTGTTTTAAGTTTGGAAAATCCAAGTTAAACACACACACACACACACACACACACACACACAGACGCAGGGATTCTAAAGGTTTGAATGACGAAAGATATGAATTTTCAATGATGTAATCAAAAATGTTCAAATAAAATCTTCTCACAGCCAATTTTAGTCCTCTCTCCAAGTGCGGGTCTTCTGTTGAAAAGTTAGCTAATTTTGGCTATGACCATGGTGATGGAAGTGTGGCAGTGGCCAAATAAAAGGTATTTTGACCAGTGTTGCCAAATTGGAACACTTACTAGACAACTGTACAAGTAAATCACTGTTTTAATTTAACTGGAAAAATCACAGTACTATCAATCTTTTAGTTAAATCTTGTACATCCAGCAGGCATACTGGAGCATGTTAAAAACAATTGTCACTGTGATAGAATATCAAATTGTCAGTGGCATGACTTAAGATACTGAGACTGTTCTGTCTCTCCAGCTTTAGGACAAAGTAACTTTTAACAACTAGCTAGTGTGTTAAGTCTACAATCAAGCGACAAAGTATGTTTGTGTGCTGTTGGAAAAGGGTATTGGAAAGCCACAGATAAATGATGCCAGTAATACAACCAGAGAAAGAAGAGGGGGGCTGGGAAAAATTGATTTTAACCTTCGTGTCAATATTAACTTTTAAAAAGGAATCTAGTCCTGCAACATTTATACAAGTTTAAAAATTGCACCAGTGCTTTGTGACTGAATTTCTGTCATTGTCCAGTATTCATTTGAAAACTTTAACAGAAATGGAATAAAACTGTTAACCCTGTCTTTGAGTATCCTCAGATGTTGTAAAATGATAAAATAACATGATCACACCTCATGCTATGTCAGGCATGTTATGTTCTCTCAGAGTACCTATCCTCAGAAGCATTTCCTGTGGTATTGCCATGCAGTCGTTTCTAACTTTAACATATAAACATATAACCATGTCATCATCCTTTTGGTCTAATTCCCTCTGTAGGACGAGGATAGATCTTTCTCTCAAGCCAATTGTAAAACCAAATGTTGGTTGCTGCCTCCTCTGTGGCTTGGGGATATGCTATACAAGAGCATGTGGTGACAGAAAAGGGAGGCCTTTTATGACATTCTAAGGTATGAAACAATTCCTTCTCAAAGTGGCCTAGAAAAAATAAAAAGCACACCAGCAGGTGTCACTATAACCCAAAGCACCTCTGCTTTTCTGCCCTACAGGGAGGAAATGGGAGTTCTACACTGCAGTAGTGAGCTCAAGCAGAGCTTCCAGTAATGTGACACTGCCACACAGTGGCTGCATAATCCAAACAGGGAGACTCCACAAACCTCAGGTCAAGAATACTGTACAGTAAATAAGGAATGGGGTGCTATAAATGATTTCAAATGCATTAAGTAAATCTTCTGGAAGGTAAAGGACTCTGGATATTCAATTTTGTCCTTTTAGTGGGCAAACCTAAGGGACAACCACTCTTATGATATTTGACAGAAACAGATTGAAAGTGAATGAGACCAAGTGATCACTCAGCACTAACCTCGCCATCTGCCATACTGAGTTTGCCTCTTGAAGAGGTAAAGGTAACTGTTGGGAATATTCATAACTAATAAATCATTATGTACAAGATTTATTTTAGAGACAAAACTACCCAGGCATTAATAGCATTTTATATCTTCTTTTACTTTCCTAAAAGTATATGACTACCTATAGAAACGTTTATAACACTGCATTTTGGGTTTTAATATATATGTGATATAAGTGACAATAACTGTACTAAGAAGTGGCAAGGTAAATGGACCTGTATGTAAATGCATGTAATTATGTGTATATAATTATTTTTAGTGTTAAATGACACTGGTTTTAAACTGGTAATAATAAATTAAAGAAGCATATTATAATCTCTATAGTAACTATTATAAAATCGCTAGGAAATGTAGCATTAAAAAAGGTAACAGAACTAAAATGCTATGCTAAAAAATAACATTTAAAAAAGGTAGGGAGCTAGTGAGAGGGCGCAGTAGATAAAAGTATTTGTTGTCCAATTCTAATGACCTGAGCTTAATCCTTGGATCCCATGTAAAGGTAAAGCTACAGAACCCGCTCCATAAAGTTGTCCTTCACACACATGCTGTGGTGGGCATGACCCCCCTCTCGGAGTAATAATAAAGGGCCGGAAAGGAAGGGCTAAAGAACGGAAACAAAAATAGAATCAGCAAAGCCATAGACTAAAAATCAACACCACCACTACTTAGGGCAAGTCTAACACAAAAGTATGGATATGACTGCATAAAAGCTAGACTTGCCTATATGACTCCTATGTGTGACACATTCTTCAGCTTCTGGTCCATGGCTGCCATATTTCCTTTTGTTTATACTTAATCTATTCAGCTTACTTTCCATTATAGCAGTTTGGTTATCAACTTGTGAATGAGAAAAACAACTATCTCCTTATTGTACCAGCTTTTAAATTTTAAGGTCACAATGAGCAACAATCAAAGCTTAATTACTGCATTAGATTGCACAACCTTCTACATGGGTAAGCATTGCCATGTACTTCTTAGGAGATCATGCAATGTCTCTATAAAGGGCTGCCAATCAATGTTACATCAGGCAATTGTGTAATCAACAATGCTTGCTGCTAGAGCTATACGAATACGACTTACCAGAGCAGAAAGTCAAATAACAAAGCAGGGATGACTAGGTTTTTGTAGTGATTAAAACTGAGGTCAAGAAACATTAAGTTAGTATTTTCAGCTAATAAATTATATATACAAAAATCCTGGCATGGTTCACATCTCTGTCATGCTTAAGAAAGGCAAAAAAACCAGAAAAATTAACAACAAAAACCCTAGTTTTGACTCAAATATTTTAAAGATAATTTGTCATGATATCAGACTGGTAGAAACACATATCTACATGAGAAAATTAATCAAAATGAAAGCAATTTCAAGAATAACTTGGCATAATGTATCAATGTAACACATTCACTTAAGTCATCCATACCTTATGTATTTATGACACTTTTTAAAGTACACTGTTACTTTCAAAATAACACAATTGTACGGCTACAAAAATGGACCAGTACTGAAGGGACATACGTAAAAACGTAAAACATATATGTTTGAACAGAAGGATAGTAAAGCATTTTTCCTTTGTGGACTTTCTGGTATACTTGTTCAATGTTTCAATAACTTTTTATGACAAAGAAATACTGAGATCTCACAGACTCATGATGCTGAGTTTTCTTTTTAAGGAGATGAATAAACGGCGTTTGCTACTGCCCGATAACCAGCTGCTTTAAAACAGTAGCAGCAATGGACACAGTTCTCAGGTGATCTACTATATTTGGTGAAAACAGAACACAGGGTGCTTCATACTTTAGGAAATCTGACAGTGATCCTTGTCACAGCACCAAGGGCAGTATCCCAGGGCAGGATTTTTTAGCTATTGTATATTAACATGACACAATGTTTTCTTCTGATGAAAAACAGAACCTTGGAGAACCAAGTGAAGAAAAACGTGCTAAGCTTATACAACAAACTAGCACTGGAATACTTTGGACACTGTCTCAGTGGGGAACTAATTTTTAACTCTTTCTTATTGACCAACATCAGATCTATCAGTTTACTTCTTCCACTATATTTAAGTTGGAAGCTTATTTCTGCTGGAAACATTAATTTATGAGGAAAGTCACTGCGGCAAAGGAACACATTTTCTTAGTTTCATAAAAATCAAAACTTCTAGTCCAGTTCACGCGTTTTCTTCTTCAGTTAAAAAAAATCAGAGAAAACTATAATCCTGTCACTGATATTCATTTGAGAACTGTATGTTTCCTTCCTAACCCATTAGATGACAGAGAAATTTACAAGAAAAGCACGAAGAAGTCCAAATACATCAAGTACATACACAAAACCCTGCCTGGCCCAATATACAACTGCTTAAGCCCAGTGCATGTTTGGGCAGCAAGAGATACCCGAGAGGATGTAAAGAGCGAACTTATAAATACAAGGCTGATACTTCACTAAGAGTTGCCTGTAACAACCTCACTGCATGGTCGGTCCTTTATGCTATTTCCTCTGTAAAGACATAATAGTAAGTATGGATATTATTCTCTTGCTGTGTTGAGATACAATAAGAACAGTCCAGAGACTAAGTTTGGATTTTGGTTCCATTTACTATTTGTGTTTATCTGGCATTTTTATTTATATGTGTAATTGCATCTAGACATTTTCACATCCCTGTGACATTCATACATGTGTGTGACATATGTAGACATTAATAAGAGACGGAAAGGAGTCCACAAGCAAACAGACTGTCAGGAAATCCAAAGGATAGATGATAACAGTGTTGTGAGAAGGAAACACTGGTTTTCTCTTGGGCAACTGGGTCACACACAGACCTTCTAAATTTGAGCAAAAATACTCTAGCCTAGCATCTACACAAGGTGGCAGGAGAGCTGGGAACCTAGAACCTGGCTCATGCAAGCAGTAGCGTCCTAGGGACCAAAGCCTACTCCTTTTCTCCAGTGTTTTAAAACGGTTGCAACACTTTAGACTAAGGAATAAACTGCACTAGATAAGGTAGAATGAACTGAGATAGGATTAAATAGGAGTCCTGGTCCAATTACCTTGTGGTTTTCCACCCACAGACCTTTTGAGACCTGTGAACAGGTTTGATTAACTCAGAAGTCAGCTCAGGTATAATGTACACCTAAACAAAGAACTTTCAGAAGATGATTAATGTGAGCCCTCTGAGGCAACAGTGAACAAACTGGTATTGCATAAGCAATTCTCTGAAAACTCTCTAAAGAGCTTCAGACTTGGGCAACATAGTAAAAGATTGACTCATTGTTCTGCTAGAATTTTCCCCCTTGGTAAAAAAGTCAAAATTCGTATATGGCAGTTCTAAGTTCAAGGGCATTTACTTGACATGGTAGTGCCACTTTTAGAGCATGTTAACCAGACTGTGAAAGCTATTGTTAGTATGAACCTGAATTACTGATATGAGAAGTCTACTAATATTACTAATTAATGCTTTAGAAAGCAAGTTGCTCCAAATTCCAGTTTCTTGGGGTTTGTTTGTTTCAAAGTTCTACCAGTTCCCCAATCTATCTAGACCTTGATATGACAACTCTCAGCAACCTGAATGGTTTCCATTTTAACATACACAATTTCTCAGCTCTGGTCTGGCCACCACCTATTCAGAAACTGCTTCTCACTCATTCCTTCTGCCAACCTTACAATATCTGGCAGTAATGGACAAGAGAGGGCAGGGAGAGCACCTGACTTATTTACAGCTGTACCAACAATGTTTAGCACCAAGTGCTACTTAGAATAAGACATTAACAAGTATTTATGAGTGAACACACATCTGAAATCCTCTGCCTTGGAGTAGCAATCATATTTTTAACTTAGGGCAAGAGAGAAGGTAAGAGGAAATTTATGTGATGTGGGTACTAGTTTTTATTTCCTCTTTTGGAATATAATTAGTGGATGGACAGAGAAAATGTGTTATGTAATACATAAGTGACCAAGTCTCTCAAGATGTTCTTGTGGAGAAGTTCAGCCAGAACTGTAACAGGCACCAGGCAAGCAGAGTGCTGAGCTTCAGTCCTCATGGACTGGAGTTTGCTTGGGTATTTTCTGTGTAACATGGCAACTTCTATCAAGATGGCCAATTGCACTAAATAACTAGTGTAATTGGCCTCCTCAACTAGACATATACCTTAAAAAGCTTATGACTTGGGGTCCACAAAGACATGAACTAAAGATTAATACACTGAACCAAATTAATGTCACTAGTGTGTCCAAGAGACTGACTATGCAGTGGAGGTGACTTAGCTCCTGTGAAGCTTAGGGGACTTCTAAGGACCTATTCAAATTCAGATAATGCCAGGACAGAAAAGGACCAAATGGGGCAAAGCAATTCAAGTGAGAAGATGTTTTTATTGCTATTAAGCCTAAGCTGAATAACACTGACTGGAAAAGGCAACATTAAGGGAGAGGCCGCTATCCTTAGAAATTAACTAAGTATTTATGGACAGAGAAGTAGCAGGCACAGTCCCCATATTTTAAAAGCACAATTCTGTCACAGGAAGACTAACAATTACAGTCCCAAGCCCAAACATCAGAGGCCTCAATACACTCAACAGGCACAGCACAAGTGCTATCTATAACCATGGCCTAAATGTACCAAAATGCTGCTGAAAAGGCAGAGGGAGGCCTATTTTTTTTCTTTAGAGAAATCAAAAGTACAAAAACACTTCAAAAATCATCTTCTTGGGTTAGTTGTTTTAGTTTAAATGGGATATAATTGCTTATCTGGAAAATGAAATTATGAGAATTCCTCCCTAAAAGCAGCCTCTCCACAGCTGAAATGTACAGACCAATCTGTAACATCTGAGAAAAGAGAAATGTCGATAATGGTCAGAGATAAAAGGTATTCTAGACTTTTGTGGACCTGAGTACTTTAAGGTCATGGGGCAACCAGACTCTGTAGAGATAAGATAGGATCAGAGATAAGGCTGTTATCTGTCATTTAAAAACAACAACAAAACACCCTTAATATAACTGTGGACTCCTACAGTGAGTTCTCATCTTAAGTGGGGTTCCCAATATACAATATTCTTTTTTCTTGGTGCCTTTACTAGGATTTTATCTAAATACTAGGGGGAAAATGCCTGAAAAGAAATATATGCCATCCCAAATTTGTGACCCTTTAGCTGGTCCTCAACGAAGCAGAACATCTTTCATGGACAGGTTTATGATCTCCATGCCTTTTTGAATCTTTGTTTCTTCATTCTCTTTATCCCCTTTAGCTGTGACTAAGGATTACTGGACAGTGAAGACCTACATCATTCTTGTGTTCCAAACCTGTAACTATTAGGGTCTTGGAGGAAAAGGACTCACCTTGTTCCTTGGCAGATGTCTTCTGGGTATTACTAACCAAATCTCTGGTACTATCCCTAAGAAACTTGTGTGACTGGGGACAAGCAGGAAATGTTAATAGGAGTATCTTTTCCTCTAGTTTGTATTAACTTTAATTTTTAATATAAAGCTATTTGTGTGCAAAGCCTTTAAAACTACCAGGTTTTATAGTACATGTGTGAAAGAAAATAACTCCATTGTTTCTGGTCTAGTTGAAGCCATTGTAAGACCTCAGGTTGTTGAATAAAATCACCTTCCTAAGAGACAGTTATTTCCTCACTAATTCCTCTTAAGCAAAATATCTGAGATCAGTATGAAGAGACTATATACAGCTTTTTTCTGCCAACTCTCCTTCATGGGCATGACAAAGTGGAATAAATATTACACAAAGTTCAACAAAGTAGGTAAATGCTCCCAAGTCCACATACACCCTCACTCACTTGTGGGGAGAAAAAGAAAACTTCCTTAGATTCATTCAAATATAAAAACACTCATTACTACATTGAATTTTATAAAATCCCATTGTTAAATACTTCCTGTCTAACCCTTGCCAAATGGGAGGATTACTGTTGAAAGACACAAGGCATTATGTGACCTCCTCCCCCTCCCTGATGAATGTCAGGGTTACACTCTGGCACACATACAGCTCTATTTTCTACAGAGGATGCAGCTTTCCAGAGATGTGAAGGATCTGGAATGAAAACACTGGCTTTCATCAACCCACTTCCTCTATTGGAAGGGAGTCTCCCAAATAGCTGCCTAAAGGAAATACTGAAATGAAGTCACCACTGTTCAGTCATGTAAAAGTAGCTTGATGATGAGACTGTCTCACAGTAGTGACTCACGTACAGCAGTTAGACTTAGGAGTAGAATCTCTATGATATTTATTGCAATACCTGGGAATGAAACTCAGGGCCTTGTACTCTCTTGATACTGAGACTTTTACTAATGTAATTTTAGATGAACATCTGCATAGGTGCACACAAAGTCCAGGTACTAGTCTTCAAAAACTATAAATGGTGAGAAACTTTTAATAATGACTAGAAAATACAGCAATTATTTGCTAGAGCTAAAAAATGTTCATTTAGTAAAAAGGTGTATACCTATGTACCAAAAAAGGAGTAACACTTTCTAGCAGTAAGGCTAGCTGGAGTCTAATAATTCCTTCTGGAAGCCATATTTGTTTAGTCAGCAAGCGAGTATTCTCATAGTGCTAGGGATAGACTTTATCTTAATGCCTACTATATTAGAAGAACAAATGTTTATAGCTACAAAAATACTACTTCTGAAGCAGCCCTTGGATATATAGCATTATATATCTGAGTTCTGTAAGAAGAGTCATTAATTCAGAAATGAATTCAATTGAGATGGCAACAGAGTACTTGAAAACATGTTAAGCAGTATTTCCAAGTGGCCCATGTGTCAACTGACACTCTCGCTATAGAACATGTTGGGAGAGCCTCTAGACTATACATTTAACATACCCTTAATGATATCAATAGAGACTAAGTCACAGAAAGCTTGAATGGTATTCTTTTTTGACTGTGGTGTTTCACTCCTTATATTGTTCTCATCACATGCTGAAATTACTTCCCCATCATCAAAAGGTATGCAAAAGTGAAAAGATTGTGAATTCATATATTGCCATAGTTTTGAAGGCAGATGTATGAGCTGTGATGGTTAACTTTGACTACCAACTTGGTGGAATTTAAAATAAGCATAGAAACAAACCTCTATGAACTCCTATAAGGGATTTTTCTCCTCCTATATTCAGTTAAATAAGATCGGAAGACCCATTCTGAATGTATTTGGCACTGTACCATGCTTTGGGCTAGGGTCCTAAACTTAGTGAAAAGAAAAAAGTAAGCTAAGGCAAGATCTAGGATTCATCTCTCTCTACTTTGTGACTGCCGATATGTGACCAGATACCTCCTGGTCCTTCAATTTGGTCCTTGACTGGCTATTTAATCTCAGCAAGGAGGAAAGTAACTAGCACAGTGACTGAATAAGCAGAATACCACTACTGGATTACTCACACTTAATTATGAAAGCAGCTAAAATGTTTAAATAAAGCAGTGGTCATTTATGGAAAATCCATATGGAATCAGGGATGCAAATAAATAGAAAAAAACTAAAAGAGTATAGTTGTACATGTACATCTGTTTATTAAAATACCCTTGCTTCCGGTGCTTACCTTCTGATTTTCTTATGTTTTACTCTGAAATATAACTTAATTGGTTAAATTAATACTCTTCTAGGTTTAGAAAAAAATATCATTTTTACACAGAAGGCAATCAATTATGTCTACCAAATATTTATTTTATGGAAATGTATGCAGAAATATTTGTGGGAAACCCTGAAATTATTTTTTTTCAATGCAAAAGGCAAGGAACTACATGCTTTCATTGCAGAGGAGCATTTAACACATGAAGACAGCCAAGCTTCATCATCTCCTATGCCTGGACAGAAATTGTGCTGGTTTTGTCAACATGCACTTCTTTTGTTTCTAGCAAAAAATGCTGGCCATAACCACCAGCTATATCATGGAGGCAAATTCCAGAGTCCAGCCCAGGACAGGTAAGCAAAATGAGAAGTTACTCCATGGTGACACCAAGTAGTTGGCTTACCTTTTCTAAGAACTAGAGAAAAGTGGTCACCTCAGAGAACTCCTTAAGGAAGACTGAATGTTCAAGTTTGGATTCAGGCTGGGGATAGATAGGGTTATGACATACAATACTTATCTACTGTGCACAAGGTCCTAGTTTCAATTCCTAGTACTGAAAAGAGAAGTTTAAATCCTATGTAATAACAGATGAGAAAGTCACCCAAGAAACTACAAAATAGGGGTGCAATAGAAACATATTTGAAGGAGAAAATCAAGTCTCATTCACATCCTTCACTAAGCCTATGAAGGTGAAGTTCTGTACCTGGAAAAGTTCCTGCACAATTTGGTAAATTATTATTTTGTTCAAAAAGAATTAGGAAACTGAACAGCTTCCCCCTAGAATTTTTAGAGATCTTGGTGAAGAGGAGAGTTATGGAATAGAAACAGGGCATCCCACTATGGCTAATTTTGCCCAAAGGGCCTCTAACCCAGAGCCCATACTCTCTGGAGAAGAACTTGACTGTTTAGACCTAGAAGTAGCCTGGTGCTAAAGACACCAAGGCAGGCAGGAAATGATGGCAGCATGAGAAGGCCCTTATGGAACAGAATATATAATTTCATTCAACAGCTGTTGAAGCTCATTAACTATGCTGGCATGAATGATTCTTTACAACCACAAAAAGACAGGAAAACAGATAGCAGCCTATTTACAGATGCAGCAAGAGTGGTGTCCCTTGTTTGCAGCTTTGAAGGGACACAAAACAAGTCTGCATAGTAAGTTTAAACTATAATTCAACACCCTTTAAAGTGTAGCTTGCCATTAAGTTTGGAGAGCTATTTTTGCACACTTTCAAACTTCACAAATAATCTAGCTTATTTCCTCACCATATGCTTCCAGATACCTTCTTACCTGCAGCAGGCCAGCCAATCTAGGTAATCCACCTTGAACTCCAATGTTTCTCCTCCACACCTTCCTTGTATTTCATTTCCTCCCCTCTCCATATGGAGACTATGCTTCACATGTCTTCACAGCCCAGGTCAAACTGATTTGTCTTTATCATGTGAGCCTTGGTAACTTATATTCCTACTTTAGCTTCCCTGCCACTTCCTGAAAAGCTGAGTAACTCAACCATCTGGGTCTCAGTTTCCTCATTTATGAAAGTAAGATTTCACTTTCTTTCCAGTGCTACTGTGGTAATTCATCTATGACAGATACAACAAATCACTCAGAACAGTGCTTGGCACATGGCATCTACAATTTTATCAATGCTACCAGTACTCCAGGCAGCAACATACTTTTGTCATAATTACTTCAGTCTTCACAGGGAAAATTGCTGAAAGGCAAGTAGTGGCACTCAGGGGAAGTAAAGGTGTTTGTAAGCATCTTTCCTTGCTTTTTTTCCCCTCTCCTACCCCTTCTTTACTCTCCACACCCTCCAGCCCCAACAAACTACCAGAGGAGTGTCTTTACAGTGGGTTGGATAAATGAACACTGAATGCTCAAGGATACATGGTCCTTATCCCCTTTGTACAGACTTCCTCAATGATGCTCTTCTGCCTAAGTTTAAATCATTTGTTGTGGACAGATTTGATTTTTAGTTCCCCTTCATTACCTAAATTCTCTTGTTCTTTAATAGCCCACAGACAGAGTAAAGGAATGTGAAACAAATTATTCCAACCTGGCTCATTTGTATAGTATACTGGAGTTGGAAAAAAATGCTCTGAGTGTTTATTGTTTTTCCTCTTCTTAGCATGGAATTTTCTGGAAAGACTGATCTCAGGCAATGTTGGTCATTGGTCCACCTAACACTGTCTCACTCCACCTATTAGTACCACAAGAGGCAAAGATTTTTTTCTATGTATATCTTCACTAGCCTTCCTACATGTGAGGCATTTACTAAAGAAAGCCAATAATCATTAATCTTAAAAAAAATTCTGGTACAATCAAATTTTAAGTATAAGGTATTATAAATTAAATTCAAAATCCAAAGTATGTTTCATAGAAACAAATAGTAATCTAATGTCAACTAGTATATTCTAAACTGACCACCATTTCCTACAAGAATCACCTGGTTGTTGCTTATCTCTCTGGGACTGTCTTACTGTATACTTGAATATTTCCTTGTTTCCTATTGATACAACTTCTGATCATTTACTTGCTGTTTCCTCTGCATTCACATGGTGGACAGTAACTTGTAGACAAATAAGAATACAGCACAAAAGGGGTAATAAAGGAAATCTTCCCCAAGGAAGTGCTATTTAGAACCCAAAACAAAGTACAGTGTTCATGCATGTGTATGTGTGCAAGTACGCAAGGACGTATGTGCTTGGGAGTAGTGATGAGTGGAATAAGGAACCGAGGTCAGAGAAGGACACAATGGACTAAAATTAAGGAGGCGAGCACAGCAGAAGATGGACACAAACTAGATCAGAAAGACTTCTTCAGAAGGGGCTCTCAAAAATGAAGCAATACAGTGTTTAAACATGTTAGTACTGAATTGACATCTAAATCTAACAAACAATTATTCTTGCAACTCTAACTTCTCTCGCTCTAGATTTACTACCATCTCAGATGATAACCTCAAGTATATTTTTAAAGTGGCTTTAATTAGCTAGTCGAATAAAAACACTCAATAATAATTAAATTCATACTAACAACAGATTCTATTGTATAAAAAAGAAAAGATAAATTATACTTTAGTAGATTTCATTGTGATTAATTGAATTTACATTTTTAAAGTGTCCTTAAATTTTGAAATTTGAAGAACTCATTATGATTTTTTAAAATTATTCAAGGATTTAGCCTGAACTGTAAGAAACCAATGAAACCAACCCCAGAATTCAAAGCTATAATGTGGAAATTTGGAAGATTGTTCCAAGATATAGATAGACCTTATCCTATGAAGAATCTATGCAGATTTTCTACTTGTAGTTCAGTTTTGGACTGTTGGAACTTTACATTTTAGGTACAATACAGATTTACTTATTAAAATTATATAGCTGATATGACCAAGAAAGCCATCAAAAACATAAAATATTTACAAAAATTATATTTCCTAGGCAGTTCATACTTTAAAGTTATTAATTCCCAAATAATTTTAATTGAAGGAAATAATTAAAAATTAAGCAAAATAATTTAGCAAAATGATTTCCTTGGTGATGGGGAAGTGCTTCTGTGTATATGTTGTCTTAATGGTTTATTAGATAAAGCACTGTTGGCCAATAGGGAAGCAAGATAGGTGGGACTAGGAGTCGAGGAGGATTCTGGGAAACAGAGGCACAGTCAGTAATGATGTAGGACACCAGACGAGTAAGAGGTCCAGATTCTTTCTCTGGTAAGGGAAGGCCACGTAGAAATACTCAGATTAGCAGTTATGGGTTAATAATTAAGTCAGAACTAGTCTATAAGAAACCAAGCAAACGGCCAACAGCTTCATAATTAATATAGTGTTTCCTGTGTTATTTGGGAGCTGAGACAGCTGCAGGACCAGGCTGGTGGGAAGAATGCATGTTATACCTTGGTATATACTTAGAAAGATCTACTGTGTCAAAACCAGAATGCTCAACAGTGAACATTTGAATTTGCAAATTCTACAAATTCTCTGACTCATTTCTGTACAGTTACATTCAGAGCAAATAAATCTTCATCCAGACAGGGCCAGGATGTTTTGACGACATTAGCTTACACATCCTGCCAGTAAATAAAGACCTACTAACTGGGGGGATTATGATACTGTTTTATGACATTGAGTATTTATTTACATATTCAGCTGTGGCATTTCTTAACTTGCTTATGTAAATTTTCCTTTATTTACAGACTTCTTGTATAAGCATTTATATTTTTCAAGAGTTGCATCCGTTAGCTAAAATTCACCAAATCCAAGATTTAGCTATTGCGGTCAGTCTTGCAAGAAATCACCGAGTGTAACAACTAAAACAGTATCACACTGTTTTGTGTTTTTTCACAAGAAAGATTCTGATATTACCCAGAAATGAGAAGGAACTTGATGAACTTTATTAATCTTGCTAATCATGGGAGGCGGTGAAGTCTGTGGAGACAATAAGTTCACATTTAGCAGTTGTGCTGAATGACTCCCCAGTCTAGTTTGTTTTAATTTGCATTTTGCAACAAAAAGTTTCATTCTAACGGCACTGCATCATTAATCTTACATAATAATTAAACCTACAAATTAGAAAGGCAGATTAGGTATCACTTGGCAACACTAACTTTCTCACCACATTCATAGTGCCCGATTTTATATATCAGTGACAGATAACTTGTCATGAATAACCACTAAGGAAGTCTATTAAAGAATATTTGGTGGCGCACGCCTTTAATCCCAGCACTCGGGAGGCAGAGGCAGGCGGATCTCTGTGAGTTCGAGGCCAGCCTGGTCTACAGAGTGAGTTCCAGGACAGCCTCCAATGCTACAGAGAAACCCTGTCTCAAAAAACCAAAAAATAAAAAAAGAATATTTAATTCATCAAGTACCATTTGCAAGATCAGCAGGTTAAAACACTTCTTTTCTTAAATGTATTGATCTGTTTGTGTGTGCAGTGTGCAGTCTGCGTGAGGAAGTGGGAGAACAACCTGAAAGGTGTCAGTTCTTTTATTCCACCCAGTGAGGCCCAGAACTCAACTCAGGTCATCAAGCTTGGAGGCAATCACCTTTACCCAATGAGCCATTTGGTTAGCTCCACAGTTAGTGGATTTATAAAAACAAAAGAAGTACCACCACCACCAAAACCAAACTTTTATTTACGGAATTTCTGCTAAGAGGAATAAAAGTGAACAAGAAAAATAATAATCATAAAAACCTCAATCTCAAATAGCTCAGTTCTCTATTTGCATACTTGTGCATGCAAACAACTATACTATAGATAGATAATATATTATATATATGCACAATTAAACAATATATGTAATATGTAGCATATATAACATATAATATACAGGTTTATATATTATATAAATAATATAGATAATAATATATACTAACAAGCCTACTTTCCCATCTGTTTAGAATCTCCAGTCCTTTCTCTGTCTACTTAGAGGACCATGTGAAGAACATTTTCAGTTCCTTTAGCAAATCTCTTAAGATAGTTCACTACGAATCATCTTTAGGATTTTGTTAAGCCACTTCAAAAATTAAAAGAATTAACATCTTATTATTCTCCCAATAGACAAAAACAACTGGCAACTTCAAATTAGTGTTATTAAAGCATTAAAGCCTAATAATACTTAGGAAAGACTATTTTCTTGATAAGTAACATTTAGGTAATTCTTAGCGTAAGAAAACAACACAATGTAAGAGCAAGGCAGGCAGAGATGGAGCTCACAGGTCTAGATAAGAAATCCACATGGGATTCTGTCACTTCCAGTTCTCTTGTCATCAAAATCCTCACAGCTTGCAGCTGTCCTCTCAGAGAGGAAAGGAGTTACACATGTGTGCTATTTATGGAGACATCCCTATAAACTTAAGTGTGGGTTCAAGTCAGAGTTCTAGGGTCAGGAAAGAAATAAGTATGTAAGTGAATCATCAATGTCACTTTCAGCTCTTATATTCTCCTTTAGAAATCTTTCAAAGGATGTTTCAATTTCTATTTTGGAAAACTACAAATAAAACTAAATAAACACTACTTAGGGTTTTTAGGCATGTTGTTCACATTTAAAACATTACTAAGTTTAAAGCAACTTGAGTTAATTTCTCTAGCACCAAAGACCTTGGTTTTCTTCTCAGTAACTGACTACTGTAGGCCACTTTAAGACTCTAGTATGGCTAGGCAAATGCTCAGTCTAAGAACCCTTGCCTAACAAGCACAAGGCTCAGCATGAAAGGAGAAGGAGGAGGAGGAAAAGGAACACTGCTGTATATTGTGGTTCATGTAAGATGCCTTATTGAGCAGATATGGATGTGAAATTTTTAAAAATTATTACTAAAGAAGTATGAATAAAAATAATGAGCAAGTTAATTGACTTAATCTTAGTTAAAGTTCACAATAACTTTGACATAACTATGTAAATGTAGTACTGCTAAGTTTTAAACAAGTTTATTTTTATAAAATGAAGGAAAAAATCCAGATCTGATTTCAACTATAAATAGCACACTGTTGATATTTTAAAATAGCATTTTAGATTATTACTGTGGAAATGAGGAACATAAAACGTAACAGGTATTAATTTCAAAAATAACCAAAATAGCTAATGGAGGTTTACATCTGCTGGCTTACGGATTATCTAAGAATGAAGTAAAATTTACAAGTAAAAAAAATTCCAGTAGGTCATTATTTATGTGAAGGAAGGAACCAAACAGAAGTGGAAAGTGGAAAATTTAGAAGTCAATGGAGCAAGGAAAGGAGTGTGAAGTAACAGAGGGGAGAATATCAAGATATTGAAGGTCAAAGAACTTCTTCAAACCTACAGCCATTTACCTGGGACACAGCTGAGTTACTTACACTAAGTGTTTTCAGTTTACCTATTAAAGCTACATTGTGCTCAGTTCCAGACCCGAGGGCTCTCTATTCAGGCCCCTGTGTTCCAGAGGTAGTCAACTAATTCCTCATGCCTGACATGACTAATTGAGTTTTCTCACTAGATGGCTTATGTATGAGGGAAACTCACTTCTATGCACCAATCTCTCCATCCCAACCATCAGCAAGGCCAGCACTTATGGACTGTAGCACAGTCCTTTAGTATGTCCTCCTACTAATAAGGCCAATGTATTAAGTGGGAGAATAGAAGTTGTAGTGTATAATGAAAATACTATCTTTCAAAAGCTATGTTCTAGAAGATAAAGATACTGCCTACTTCACTTATTAAGGAGTCTCATTCCCACAATTTAACTAAAAATTCACATTAAACCATAAGACTATAGATTTACAAAAAAGGCAAATTAGAAACTGTCCTTCAGAGATCTGTGATAGACTTCCCACTCTGAAATTGTCTTCATAAAGAATGGAATTTGATGCACTGACTATTTTAAAGAGAGATGGTTACTTTATCAGTTCAGCTAAAAGGAAAATCTCAAACAAGGCCATACTGTATTTTTGATCAGCCAAATGCACTTTTTAAACACTTCATTAATTTAAAGACTAAACCAACAAGGGAAAGGTGGTTTAATTCAAGTACTATCTATGAAGCATGAATTAATTCTCTACTTTGTATTTTACTTGCTCTTTTCAAATAATTTAGTTATATTAACAGAATTTTTTGTGAATGGCTCTAAGAAATACCTACTGTGAGATTTAATATAAAAATAGTGGATCAAAGAGCCCACATTTTAGAATTTTTTTGAAGCACTGTCCTATCATACTTTAAAAATAATAATAATAGAAATACTATATAATATATTACTTCAGTATTTCAAGAACACGGTTACTTCTTTTGGTTTTAGTTCATATATTGCATATTCTATGCACAGGAAGAACACTTGTGGTTTACAAGTTGCTTAATTTATATCTTTTCCACCTAAGCTTTGTAAAAATAAATCAAAGAGAAAACAAGGTATTGGTTTCAGCCAACATGATAATTGCTCCTTGAAGTTGGAGGCAGTAGGCAGCTGCAAACATCCGACTGAAAGCCCATTTGTGGCTTCACAGCTTCCAGTCGAGGATGTTTACAGTCGCTCACTGTCAACAGAGATATGCCTTCTTCAGCATTCTGTCTCACTGACCTGAGAAGTCCCCTGTAGGTGTTTCTGAAATGTACAGGCAACAACATTTCTGTAAAACTGTAAAGCCTCATTCACACATACAGGCCCTAGAAAATGATTGTAGTTCCAAACAGACAGATGCTTCAGGAACATCTACTATTCATCTACTAAGCATCAAACACATTTACTAAAACATATGTAAATGGATTTCATCCACAACTGTTGGACATAAGAAACAAACAGCCAAGTGTTTACAACACACATAAGTTCATCAAAATCCTTCTTTGAGAAAAAGTAAACAAGAAAGGCTTAATTATCTCTATACAGCATAAAGTGTACTCAACATTAAACGCTCAAGCAGGAGAGCTGAGACTATCAATAAAACAGGAAAGTTATTAACAGAGAAAAGACTTACGTATTGCTTGCACAGATCACCTTTGTTCTGAAATCTGCTTCCAGAGGCTTTGTACAGTCAATTGATCTTCTGGAAGAATAAGCTACAACCAGGAGAAAAGCAGCAAAGAGCGAGGAGTGCGGGTCCGCATGCATCAGTCTGTGGGTCAGAGTTTCCCACTGGAAAAACACAGAACCTATCGCTGGCAGCAAGGGCTGGCAGCAGTGACGCACATTAACTCCACATCTGAATGTTCTGAATTCCACTCCCATTCTCTAATGAAAATAAATGAGGAAAACGGAAGGTTAAGCTCTATCAGTCACAACTTTTCCTGAAGTAATTCAAAACCCTTCTGAGTCTAGTGAAAGATTAAGCTGATACAGAAAATGGGTGTGCCTTTCCCTGAGATTGGGCTATAGATGAAATTACCACAAGGTTAAGTTGCCAATGCCTTGGGATTTGATGACACAACTATCCCCACAAAGACCTTCATGTGTGTGGAAACTAACAAATGTGATGAGTTCCATAAATTTCTTTTCAAACAAAGGGCAGTTCTCTCCCATTATGGTTAAGAAAGTTAATCTCTGAAGCAGCAGGTGAAAACAAGCTGAATTATGTTGTGGCCATTCTCTTTATTAACTAAACACTTTGAACTATTAAAACTTCCTAGGGAACCACAATTTCTCAATGGGTCAAGTCACACAGGGGAACAAAGCAAACTCTATCAGTGCTGGCAAGTCTACATTCCAAACATTCTTAGCACTTGGCATTCATATACTATTGCTGCCCAGAGCTGAGTCAATCCTAAACTCAGTTACATACAGGCTTCAACCTCCTGAACTTCTCACCAAGACACCCACCTCTTTTAAGTGGCCCACAAACAGAGAGGCAGGGTGTTCTTTAATTAAAACATAAATACCAGAACTGACACCCAGAAGATATTGTACATCAGTAACTGTTTATAAAAAGAAAGTATTTTCACTCCCATAAATTTTTCTCAAAGTGAAGGATCTCCTAGTTGCCTTAGAATCTGCTAACTTTTGAATAGCAACTTAAAATTAAAAATGATAAATTATTAATTTCCTGGTTACAATAAGCAAACAACTTTCAATAACAATTCTGTATAGAAGAAACATAAAACTTCAGCACCACTCCAGCTTTTTGCTCAATACTTTTATGAATAAAAAAAATCTTTAAAACATGAAAGACTAAGATCATAGATACAAGAGCTCAAAACTGCAAGACCATTTAAAAAGTATCAGTCCTGTGCTTCACAGCCTGTCCGTGCAGTGTTTTTTAGCAAGATACAAGCAGAGCAAAAATTCACACAAAAGCTAAAGTCAATTTATTCATATGGATGCTGGATAATTTTGCCACTATAGGTGAAGTTCTGTGTTACATAGTTATTTTAATGACTTAGGATTTCGTTTTTGTTGTTGAGTAGCAGAGACTCCACTTGGAACCATAATTCTGAAAACTAGAGGGTTGAGATAAGACAGATTATCTATTTGGCTTCTTCTAACCCCACATACCTGGATTTCATTTTGCTGCACTGATTCTCCAACTTTTACTCAAAAAGATGAGAAGCTGTTGGGTGTGTACACCTGGCAAAAGCTATCAAATGCTTCTGCTACACTTTTCCAGCAGAGAACCACTGACCAAAAGTATCTGAACAAAGCAAGTCTGCTTATGACCAAAATATTTTGCCATCATCTAGAAAATATGAATGTTTTTAAAAAGAACAAATATGAAAGAATAAGATTCAATTTCATTTAGTACATTAGATCCTAATCAGTCTTACACAACCCTCAAATATAGAAAATAAACTTCCAACTCCAAAACTACGAGCAGTTCAAGGTTCCTAAGTCTGCCAGCCCAAAGTATAGATCAGTCATCTTGGAATCTTCCTCATATCCTTTCTGTTTTAACTATTTAAAGGATTAACTCATTCTTGTGGAGACTTTTAAGACTGGTCCTAAAAAATCTTTTAAAACTTTTTCTTAGCTAGTTAAGGAAATGAGAAGAAAGTACAAAATGCCCTGCACCTCCAGAAAATGACACTTTCTTCTACCTTTTTCCTTGCTATCCATGTAACCTCCCAACTTCAGTTTGCATGTTTATATTGCTATTCCAAGAATGGGAGGTCCCTTGTCAGCAAAGGGTCCAGTGCTCAGAATCTGCATCCTTCTGCCCTTGTAACCCTAGGGTCTAGGAATCTGCTTTAACAGTACTGGTATTCAACCTATCTTGTTTTTATTTTAATGTACCTGTACAGAACAAACACTAACTGGTCTGTTTCCTTTTGTTGAAAGCATACATAGAACTCATATGACACAGAATAGCTAACTGTACAAACATAACTGTGAACTTCAAATCCCAACTCCACCTTCTCTGACTCATTCTTCTATGTCTAGTTTTCCTCACAGTCTTAGCTAGTCTAAGGGTTTGTGTTAGTCCTCATTACATTTCAGCTAATCATGACACCCATGAATCTTCTTTTGACTTGCTTGATTGCTGTTGGAAGTAAAACTATTAAAAACCTACCTGTTATCCTGGCTCTGTGAAAAGGAACAAAACTATGCGAATTTACTAGGAACAACTTCTCATGAAGTTTGTTCATGCAAACAACCGAGAAACTCAAATTCTAGGAAGAAAACCATTATTTTGGATAGTAAAGACTTTAAATTTAAAACTAAATGCTCCCCTAGTCAAGAGGTGAACATAATTACTTTGTTCAATTATCATTCTTTACTAAAATGGCAGTACAAAATAAATAAAAAAGAAAGTATACATACTCATATTTATGCCTTTTTATTTGGGTGCGGTTTCTCATATAGCCCAGACTGACCTTGAAATCCTGATTCTCTTGCCTCTGCCTACCAAATGTCTTGTACAGACTTAAAACCTCAGTTCAACTAAGACCTAAGTATTTATTGCATGTCAACCGATATCTACCATGCTTTCATCTTATCCCTGTCATAACATAGTAATGCAGCTACCAGGAAAAACATCATCAACACAATGCTGATGTAGACACCAGATTTGCAGCACTGAAATCACATCCACGGCTCACTGTTCACTCCTCTGTTCTGGTGTTCTAGAGCATTTGTGGAGTACGGGAAGGCATGCATTTGAATAAATAAGGACAGTTAACAGTTTAATAATAACTGTATTTTCATTATAAAATTAACATAAAAATATTAACCAACAAAATTAAGAGCTAAGAGCTAAAAACACCCTTTACGATGAAATAGAATTGGTTTGCTCTCCAAGCCAAGGTTTTAGATATTCTCAAGGGTATTAGTCTTATCATTCATTCTCCACTCATCCCCATCTGCAAGTAGTTCTTCTCTCTTACTTTCCCTGGTATTCCTACTAAGGTGGAACATTCCAGAAGGTCAGGGCCTCCCAGCCTCCAGGCTAATAGGGGACTTTCCCACCCCATTCTATCCACCTAGGCTCATTCCTTTTACCTCACTGTCAGCAGTTCCCAGGCAACCTCCCTCAGATCACGGACTGCTGGCTCAGCTCTTCCCTCCAGAGTCTTGTTCCATTAGATTCCTTGTAAAGAATAGATAGATATACCCTCCTGCTTCTGCTGAAATATAGCACGCTTCTAAAGGAGTATCAAGTGCATTTACGTTTTAGTGTAACAATAACATGGCAGAAATGAGCTCAAATACTGAATTACTTTAAAAAAGAAACAAAACTAAAGCTATAATTCCCACACTGTAAAAACTCAGCATGATCAGTATTATTCCTTCAGGATAATATGTTGTTTCAGTTGTGAGCAATTTTATAAGAAATGCTGCCTTTAAAAAATATTTATTTTACCATGCATGGAAGATAGAGCACACTTGCAATCACAGCACTCAGGAAGCAGAAGCTGAGGCTACAAAGAATATACAGGGTGTTTCAAGTCAGGCAGCGCTACACACAGGAAACTGTATCAACACAAATATTTGAGTTGGGGATGCTACACACTTGCAGTTTTAGAAGTACCAGAGTTCAAGACCAGCATGGATAACAGAATAAGACCTTATTAAAAACAAAAATGAAACTAACAATAATAAAAAAAAGTTTGTTAACTAATATCAGTAACTGGAAAGCATCTATTTTTAACTTAGACCAATTGTTCAGAATGTGTGTGTGTGTGTGCGCGCGCATGTGCACACGCATGCATGTATATACATACGTATATATGAGCTAGTATTCTTAAATATTATAGAGTAGTCTACTACTTAACTCATATTTTGAAAACATTTATAAAGGCAAGGTTAATTTTGAGTCTTTAATAATAATTAATTGCCATAAGCTATCCAGAATGTCATACTTCCAAACTGATTCATTCTGTAAGCACTTATGGCAATGCTTTGAAAGTTATGTGATGACAGAGTAAGAGCTATACTATCAAGTTAAAAGAAAGTCACGACAATAACCAAGTCATATAACTGTTGTTGTATTGAAAACTCACTTCCCTGCTTTTCTTATGGTGTACATTACTTTAATATGAACTTAAGTACAAATATTTAGAAAAAGCTGACCAATTTCAGACATAGGGACTAGTATCTTTCACACCTCCCTACAAAGGTAAGTCTTTGAAAGGAAAGAAACAACCTTTAGTCTTTGCCCGTGGTCATGAGTCTATCTACTGAATCTATTGAAGTGCCCCAAGAAGTGCACTGCAGAAAGTGGGTACTCAGTATATGCTGGCTGAATCTTCAAGAAGACATTGGTAATTTGTCTTAATTCTTAGGACAAATCTTATTAACAATTAGCATATTTTGGGAGCTTACAACTCAACAAAGACAGCCAAAGTCACAATATGAAGATGCTGCTCCCCTCTGTGTCCTGTGAGAACTCTCCAAGACCAGCTGGTGAATCTTAAATAACAAGAAGACCAGGCCCATAGTGTTACCTAGCAGACACCTGGGGCCTAGGAGAGCTCTGTAACTTTGAGACTAAGCTACTTTCTCTATGAAAGGAAAGAGCAATACCTGTTCCTCAGACTTTCCTGGAGAAGTGACCAAGGTGTGTGTAAAAAGACAAAGTTTGTATGTCCTTACTAGTTATGTTTCCCTATTATCATTTTCTGATTATTAGAAAGTTAAGGAAGCTTAAATAGTACAGTATATACTAATGGAAACTAATTACTAAAATGTTATTTGGGCTTTTATACCAGGTAGCTATCTGATTTCATTAGACTATACTGGATGCCAATTTTCTCAACAAGAGGGTTAATAAAATGTTCTACAAAAATCTTTACAGCTATAAAGTGTCATGATTCTAATTTCTAATTTATGAAACAGTGGGAACAGAGTAAAGGAGGGTTGAAAGATTTTAAAATTAAAGATATACAAATCATGGAAGCAGATTTCTCTTAACTAGTGATTTTTTTCTCTTAATACAAAGTCACCAATTACCATGAATTCATTCATCATCACTTTCCACACCCACGTTTTTTTAAAATAGCAGCATTACACAGCTGTTTGACAGTATTGCAGTTAGAAGCTAACTTATACAGCATCCCATAGAAGAACCTGTCTACAGTGCAACTTGGTAAGAAATGTGGGATGCAAGCAGGGAACAAAGGAGGATCACATACCTTTTTCTGGAAACAAATAGCAGTAAAGAACATAGAAAACCAGTACAAAAGTCAGCTTTCACAACTCTCTATCATTTCATAAGAAAATGAGCAATTTAACTGGAAATAGCTTGCTTACTTGAAAATTTCAGGAGAGTTTTATGTAAAGTTAATATTTGACTAAAAGTGTTTTGGGTTATCTAAAGCTCAGTGGCTCAATTAAGAATTTTCAAAATTTTCATGAAATAACTATATACCTGCAAGATTAAAAAAAAATCCTATTCAAAGAATAGTTACCTATTTAATATGCACTCAGTAGGTTTGTGATGAAGGTGAACTGAGCCACTAGGGATAGCTGACATTTCTAGTGTGACTGACTCAAATTTCTCTTGTGAAATTGAGCATTAAGAGTAGAGGTTAAAAGACACAGTTCAGGCCAGATGAATAGCACAGACACAGGAACAAACAGCAATAAACAAGCAGCACTCATACAGCTCATTTTTCTGGGAGGGGAGTCCAAGAAAGCATGGGACCCTTTTTACACACTCATAGGCCCAGGTTCCAACTCCACCTAATGTGGAAAAACTGGGCACGGTGGCAATCTAGAGTCTAATGAAAACAGTGTCAGAGGAGGAGAAAAGTTTCCATGACAATAGCAAAGAACTGACAAGTACAAGAATTAGATACAAGGAAAAATAAGAAAATCTGCCTGCCCCTTTTTGTTTCCTAGAGTTCAAGAGTGCTTGAACAGACTGCCAAGGCTACATAATGGCTGGAAAAGCATCGTTATTCCATGAATGGGGATCTAAATAAACCCTGTCAGATGCTTTTCCACCTGGGGTACAAACAATCACTTAGAAATTACTTTCTCCAACTCAACATTTTGTTATTTAAAGAGAATATTTTTTCAAAAATGTAAATGAGTAATCTACTTTTTATACAACTAGTAAGATTAAAAAGTAAGACTGAGGCATAAAATGAGTTACCAGAAAGGTTAAAAATAAGACTGGCAATGTATCTTACATTTTGTGAGATGGTCATAATTTCAATTACTCTGTCTTATTACAATCACAGATCAGGAAAACAAATCTAGATCTGATCAAGGATCTTTACACATGACCAAAATGGAATTTAAAAATAGGGCTAAAACCCCTCCAAATTCTTCCTAACTTTAACCTTATACTCTGTGGAACAAAAGTGCTACACTTTCATCTAGGCAATTAAGAAGGCAATATTTAAAAAAAAACTACTTAACATTTAAGTTTCAAAATGCTGGGCCTTAATTTATACTCTCTGAAGAAAAACATCCATGTTGGTCAGCATTCTAAAGCACTAAGTCTTAATTTCTTTTCTGTCTTTTTTACTGAAGCTCTTCTTAAAGTTGCCTCTGGTGTTTTCTAAATGTGCTCACTCACAAGTCGTAGGGCTCTGGCAATTTTTTAACTAGTAAAATAAACATAGCAATGGAGTACCTGCAGTCCTAACAGTATTGTTTGTATTGTAAGCCCCGTCCACAAAGGCTACACAGAAAATATCCAGTATAAACAAACATTACTTAGATACCAGTGGCATCTTAGCAGCACACCCAAGTCTCAAAATGCAAAAGGAAGAAAATTTCCACTCCCACGATTGATTCTCAACTCCCTGGCTCAGCACATGTCATGCAAAAGAAAGTGACATTGCCGGTTACTGTGAATTTGGGGAGGAGGTGTGGGTGTGAAGCAAATCAGCAATTCTCTCCTTTCATTTCCCATCATCCTCCTGCTCCCAATTTATCTCTTCATTTCCACAATGTTTTTCTCCCTTTTTTCTACACTTAACTGATCTCTCACTTTCTTTAGTGAATTCAAACAGAAAAAGACTGCTTTGCCCTTTAATTCTGTTACTTACTATGACTCTCTTAAGTTTCATACAATGCTCACATATAAACCACTACTATTTTCACAGGAATATACAAAGGGCAAGGGAGGATGAAATGGCCTGAGGTTAAACCTGGCAGAAGAAAAATTCCCTATTATTTTCAAAGCTCAGGCTTCCAACTGAGGGAGAAGGAAAACTCTTCTGGGGCAAAACTGCCTGAGTCAGCCAGAAAACGCCAGAAGGAGAAAGACATGAGGGCTCCTGCAGCCCTAGAGCAGGAGTCTCCTCCACCTGGCAGGCTGAACTCTCGGCTGAAACCTGAGAGCATCTGCCCTGGGCTTCCAGAGGACCTGGAAGGAGGGCATGCTGCTCTTTATACTGGGCCAGCTCGGCCCTTGGTCCTTTTCTAAGAGACCCACCTTTCCCCAGATCCTGCACAGCATTCTGTTGCTTCTGAGTATCAAGACTGCTACCTACTTTTCTTACAAATCTGTCTCCCCAACTAAAGACATAAATACTTGCACCATTACCTTCTCACTTGTAAAATGAAGACACCATTTTAACATGGAGAATATTAGGTAAACTAACACTTATGGAGGAAGTGTTTAGGCCAGGATTTAGTATGTGAAAACACATAAAGTGGTAAAATAAACCACCTGTGAACATCTCTACCTCTGAATGACAAGACATCAAGTTTGATAATAGATAAAAATAAAATGATAATAAATATTTATTTTTGTTAATGCATTACCCACTCAACAGACTTATCAAAACTAAGAAAGTTTCTGAGGAAACCAGTTTTTATATTAAAATTATGTTTAGTTATTTCTGACTTTAAGATACTTGCTACTGATGAATATACTGAAATCACAACATACAAGAAAGGAAGTCTGAGATGTCACCTTTGGTCTAAGTATCCTGTACATGACTATTCACCACTGCACTGATTCCAGTTCTTTAGGTTTATTGAAATAATATTATTAATATGTTGCACTGTATATCCCCTATCCCCCAAAAAGGTTAGTCTGAATTTAAATGTCTAAGAGAAAATGATTAACCTTTTATTTGGAGGAGGTTCTTTCAGCTCTAACGGAGGACAGGGAAAAGCAGAAGAGATGATGATGTAGAGAGCTGATGAGAAAGGATCAGATTTTGTGGGAAGGTGTATGTTTGCTTTACTCACACTGTACAAGTGAATAAGTAAATGATACAGTGACATCAAAATTTACAGAAGAATACATTTCAACATGGAGGCACTTATTTGCAAAATACAAAATTATCTCATGAAAGTGAAAATTCTAGTTTAAACTTCAATTTTCCTACTTAATAGCTGTTTTAAGGTAAAAGCATTCAAAAATATGTATGGAGCCTCAAAGATAAATCATCAAAAAATAGTAGGTACATGTTAATTTTTCAGTCATAATTTAGCAAAATGTTAAACATTTCCACACATATTAAAAGCATTAATTTGGGGCTAGAGAGATGGATGGTGATCTTCCAGAGGCCCTGGGTTCTATTCCTATTACCTACATGACAACTTACAACTGTGTAACTGCAGTCTCAGGGAATTTGATAACCTCTTCCTATCTCTACAGGTACCAGGTATATATGGTACAGACAGACATGAAGGCAGAATGTCCATACACATAAAATTAATAACTGAAAAAATTGTAATATTTTTACAGACAGGCATGGTAGTACACACCTGTAGTAGCAGTATTCAGGAGACTGAGGCTACAGGGTCATGATTTCAAGGCCAGTTTAAGATACATGAAGATATTCCAAAGGAAAGAAAAAAAAACAAAACAAAACAAAAACATCAATTTAGAAGTCAATTGAGCTAGCTATATTAAAAATACTTTCAAAGACCATTTTCATAAATTTAAGTCCCAGAAATCTTAAAGCATTTCAGGAGATATCCTCTAGATAAAGCAACAAAAATTATCATTTTAAAAAGATAGATTGGACTTTTTTGTTTTACAAACAGTTTGTCTACAATAAAATTATATTCATAATAATTTAAGGAATATAGTTTACTATGAAAAAATAGTTCTTTTGAATTCTTGTTCAATAAAAAACTTGCACTGATGATTTAAATCCATAATAACAGAATTGAAAGGCTCTTAAAAGTTTGTTGAAAAATATACAATTTAAAATGTTAAACTTGTTTAAAATTTAACATTGTACCTTGAAGAGCACTAGTTCTTGCTCTTGCACGAATAATAGCACCCTTCATTTAAGCAAGCAATTTCTTTTACATGTTTATGAAAAAGCAATACCCCATATAACCAATGACAGGAAAAGTCTTAATTCAAACCTCTAACATTACCTAGCCTGAAGCAAAGTTTAACAAAACAAACAAACAAACAAACACAATTCACACTCAGAGAGAAGAAAGGAAACTTTCTCTAAATAAGCAGCAATTATGCCAAAGAATTTATATGCTAAGCACGACCGAATGTAAAAATTCCAGAGCAGTCAACCATAACTTTAGCACTTTGAGTATGATTAACAGAATGAACCTTCAAAGGTCAATTAAATGTCAACACACTTTAAAGAGATATTCCTAAAGCCTGGTCAATGTACAATAGCATCCCATAATTTCAGAGTATCCTTAATTTAGGTGTAACGTGCATGTTTGATGTATGTACATATAGATGCAGTCTACCATATTTACCAGCCAGATTAGTGGAAACTTACTGAGTATTTTTCATTCTAGTCTAGAGCTTTTTCTTTCTATGACTTTTAGTTATGCAATAATTTAAGTAAGATACAGCATTTGTCAATAAAAATGAAATGTAAAACACCCTTGGTTTTCACATGACATTCTAGTTTTGTGAATCAAGTGCGTGTGCACGTGCGTGTGTGTGTGTGTGTGAGTGTGTGTGTATAAAAGTATGCCAAGTTCCATATCACATGCCTCAGAATTCCAGTATTTGGGAAATTGAGTTACAAGAATTATAAATTCAAGGACAGCATAGACTCCTGGTAAGTTCCACTCCAGCTTTGGCTAAAGGAACACCTTTTCTCAATAAATATATCAAACAAATAATTTCATTTACGTTAAACATGTATAGACATTTTAGTCTTGTCACTACTCCCTAAACAACACAATGCAGCAGCTAGTTACACATTATATTAAGTATAAGTCATCTGGAGATGCTTTGGAGTACTCAATTACTTTCCATAAAGGGTTTAAACACTCAGATTTTAGTATCTACATAGTGGTGGATCTTGGCATCAATTCCTCCCAACCCCATTTGATAGTGAGGACTCACAGTCTACTATTTGCCCATAGTAAATGATTCTCAAGGATAATGTGGGCTCTTATTTTTGTCTCTTATCAACAGGCCCTTAATTTGTCTCCCAACCTAATCTTCTTGAGTTCTTGGTTAAAAGGCTTTCCAGAAAAGGCATGTGGAATTTAAAGGTGACAATTTTATACTTAGGAATCTCTGGGACAGAGCAGGTCCTGAGGCATTCAGTTCTCATAACAATATTTGCACCCAGGGATACTCAATCCCATCCCACTTATGCAAGACCAAAATGTGCTAAAACCTCAGAGTAAGAAATCTAGCCCATGTTCTCCACTCACCAATCATGAAAGTAGAGCAACCTGACTTAGTTCACACAAACCCTGGTAAAAATCTTAAAACTCACTCAGTCCAGTGCTTTCTCCTATCAAGCAAGTATACCACATATCCTTTTTTTTTTTTCTTTTGCCTGAAGACATAACTATGTTGTGGTTTCCATATAAACTCAAGGGTGAGCTTCTTAAGAGGTTAGGAATCTTCAAACAGACTAGGGAGGATTAGAAACTGAACAATGGACAGATTCTGGATGGTTCAAGAGAAGACATTACCAATGAGCTAAGTTGCAATGGTTGGTTGTTCCTAAACCGATGAAGATAGGTTTTCAAAAGCAGGATGGGGCTCCTTTTGTTGACAAGCAATAGAGAAGAGATGAGAGAGAGGATGTGAGGTGCTTGACTACTTAGGTTGACAGCATTTTAGTGGGCTGCTATAAGGAGCAAGTGAACTGATGCTAGAGAAAGAACTTTGACATATCTAAATACTACCTCACAGCACAGGGAGTGTTAAGTCCTTGGGTAGGAGGCTCTTTGACCTGAATCCCTTTTCTTTGGTGGTAAATGCCTATATGAAAAAGCAATTCTTAAGTTCAATTCTGGATCCATTCCTAGATTCATGGGTAGATTCAAAATTTGAGGCAGACCACATAACCAGTGCTTTTCAAAGTGAGTGTAGGAAATATATAATTAAGTACTAAATAAGACTGTACAAATGAAGATGAGGGTAGAGAAGGCACCTGAGTCAGAAAGCTGTACCACTAAACCCAAGTTCTTAGCTGGCACTACAATCTACATCTTTGTCCTACCCTCTTTCCCTCTGCTCAACAATTTCTACTTAGTAATGTGACCTCCACTGTGTTCAAATTACTTAGCTCATCCAGTGTGTACTTCCTCTTCTCTTCTTCAGTGACTCTCCAGGGCTAAAAGGGAAAATTGAAAAAGTTACAATTAAAAATTACATCTACTGAATATATACATTATGCTCATTTTTAGCAGATAGCATTTCAATGTATAATCTTGTGTAATTCTCAAAACAACTCCTATGAGACAGGGCTATTACCCTTGTCTTTGTAGTAAAGGAGCTAAAGCACGGAGGTCAGGGGTTCATCTGAAGCCACCTGGGCAGTAAATGTCAGCTAGGATTAGACGCAGGTCTGGTAGACTACTTAGTCTATTCTTTGAACTTCTCTTTTACAGTCTTTCTAATTTTTTCAATAAACAAAAATCTTCACAAGTTGGGGGACATGAATACAGAGCTTACAGAAGCCCTTATATAAATTTGTCAACAAAAATCTGTAACAATAGAAGGCAGGGTACATGGATATAACCATATACTTACTTACCGGGCAAAATACTAGCATTTTCACCCAAATCTTCAAATGTGAGTGTTAAAGGATAATAAATGGACAGCTCTTCATTGAATATTATTGTTCTAGTATCTCAGGCTGCCATCCCAGGCTCCATTCTGAACCTTAAGCCTAAAATTTAGTTAACAGGGTAATTTCACTAGGTTACTCCCACAAACAGGACAGAAAGGAAGCATTGTGAACTCTAGTTATACTCTGGCATGCCTTAACTTGGTGCACACGCAGAGACAGTAGATGAGGGATGAGACCATATAGGTGTCATAGGGAAATGATTAGGCACTGAGCATCTTAAAAGAAAACACTAGCCATTATAACACTGGCTAGAAAACAAACCACTTATGCTTACAATTTTGTGTGACTAACTCTCAAACTGAAAGGAACTTTTGAGTACAAATTCAGATTCCATTTACAAACATTCTGATTCTCTAAGTATGGAGATACTCAACAGTGTGAAGCTTTGCAAGTTCTACAAGGGAATTTTGATACCTGTCTATGAAGGGCACACCCTGAGATATATTGTTCCAACTTCTGACACTGCTGCACAACTAAAAAATCTGAGTAAAGAACACAAATTCTACAAAGAAAACCCACTGTTACCTGGACCAATGTTAGGTCCAGGTTGAGTGGTCACTTTGAAATACAGCCACTCAACTGTCCCTAAGTGTCCCAGCTTCCAAATTTCAAGGCATTACTACTCTCCTGACACTACCATTACTACACAGAGCAGGCCGCACTGTAGTCCACATTGGATCTTTCCTACATCCAGTGTTTGTCTAGAGCAAGGACCTTTGCAAGATGCCATTTCTGGTGTTTAATTTACATTTGGTATACGATTTTAGATAATTTTTCTCACTGAGATTTCTTGATCTTAACAATACTTCTTCATACAAATAAATTGAAAGCTTTCATGATATTTTCTAAATGAGTTTAAAAATGAGGCAGCACTCAGTGAAACATTATAGTTATGATTGGGGCATTTAATTAGAATCCAATCAATGCAAACAGGTACTGATTATTTAGGAAACACCTCTTCAAAGGTTCATGCTCAAATATAACTAGATCACGTGTGAACTCAACATTGTTATCATTCTCCTAGAAACACTACCAGTTGTCCTTGTCTGTAAATATTATCCCTATTTTAAGCTATAAACTTCAGGTTAGGTACTAAAATTAAGCTTACTTTTTCTGTGAATTCTTTCTTTGCTATTTCCCTTCTTTCCAGAAAAGCATGGTGATAGTTCTCTTTTATAGGGAAGGCGAATTTTTAATTACTTTTATCTGGACACTAGGCGTTTAAGTGAGCAAATATTTGCTGAATCTCTAACTTACATGCTGGAATTGTTTATAAGCTCCATGGTGGAGAAAACATGGCCTGTGGAGCACCTGACATCTCAAACGCACTCTCACAGTGAGAGAACTGTGGTACTCGATCAAAGAGCAAACACTTCTTTATACACTGCTGACTACATATAGATAATTTACAAGAGTTCTGTTCGTGGAAAGGTTTGATTTTTTTTCACTCTTGACGGAAAAATGTAGGTTATCACGATAACCAAAAGTTAAGATCTCATCATTTTACGTATCAGTCTGAAATGACAACAGTTCAATGACAATGTCAAGACAAACCTTTTAATTACTCTTTAGAAGTATGCGCGGCACTAACACATCTCAACAAAAAGGATTATGTAAGTGAGCTGCCTTGGCGTCAGAATACGAACACAGTGGCTA